TTCCAGTTTTTGTCAATTATTAATAAAGCTGCTGTAAACATTTGTGTGTAGGTTTTTGAGTATACATAACTTTTCAGATCACTTGGGTAAGTACATTGGAGTGGGATTGCAAAGTGGTATGGTAAGTATATGTTTAATTTCATAAGAAAAGGCCAACGGTTTTCCAAAGTGGCTATACCATTTTGCATTTCCATCAGCCACAAATGAGAGTTCCTATTACTATGTATCCTTGCCAACATTTGGTATTGTCAGTTTTCTAGGTGTGTCATGGTATCTCACGGTGTTTTTTAATCAACTTTTTATTTTGGAATAATTTTAGATTAATAAGACAGTTGTCAAGATAGTACAGACAGTTCCCATCTAACTTTCAGAATTTCCTCTAAGGTTAACATCTTATATAATTATGGTACATTTTCTAGGTAATCATGTCATCTGTTAATAGAGACAGTTAGATTTCTTATTTTCCAATCTGTATACCTTTTATTTCTTTTTCTTGCATTATTATACTGGGTAGGACTTCTACTAGCCAGTATAGTGAGGGAGGACATCCTTGCCTTGCTCTTGATCTCAGGATGCAACATGTTCAGTCTCACCATTAAAAATTATGTCAGGGCCGGGCGCGGTGGCTCACGCCTGTAATCCTAGCTCTCTGGGAGGCCGAGGCGGGCGGATTTCTCGAGGTCAGGAGTTCGAAACCAGACTGAGCAAGAGTGAGACCCCGTCTCTACTATAAATAGAAAGAAATTAATTGGCCAACTAAAAATATATATACAAAAAATTAGCCGGGCATGGTGGCGAATGCCTGTAGTCCCAGCTACTTGGGAGGCTGAGGCAGCAGGATTGCTTGAGCCCAGGAGTTTGAGGTTGCTGTGAGCTAGGCTGACGCCATGGCACTCACTCTAGCCTGGGCAACAAAAAAAAAAAAAAAAAAAAAAAAAAAAAAAATTATGTCAGTTGTATGTTTTTCATACATAACTTTTATTAGGTTAAGAGAACTGCTTTCTATTCCTCGTTTGTTGAGTTTCTATCATGCATGGATGTTGAATTTTACGGAATGCCTTTTTGCATTTATCAACATGATCATATTCTTTTGCTTAAAATTCATTTAATCTGATGAATGACTTTTATTGATATCTGAATGTCAAACCAGTCTCATTACTGAGCTGAACCTCCTTGATCATGATGTATTATGCCTTTAATATATTGCTGGATGTGATTTGCTGATATTTTATTGTGGATTTTTGCATCTTTGTTCACAAGGGATGCTTGTCTGTAGTTTTCCCTTTTTTGTAGTATCTTTGGTTTTAATATTAGGATAATGCTAGCCTCATAAAATGAGTTGGGAAGTGTCCTTCCTCTTCCAGCTCTTGAAGAGATTGTAGAGATGTGGCATCTTTTCTCCCTTAGATGTGTGGTAGAATTCACCAATGAAACTATCTAAGCCTGGAGATTTCTGTTTTGGAAGGTTTTTAACTATAAATTAATTTATTATGTATAGGACTCTTCAGGCTTTTTCTTCTTGAGTGAATTTTAATAGTTTGTGTCTTTCAGGGAATTGTTTCATTTCACCTAAGTTATCAAATGTATGGGCATAGAGTTGTTTATAGTATGTCCTTATTGTCTGTGGGAGCAGAAATGATATTCCTGTTTCATTCCTGCTATTAGTAATTTGAGTCCCCTCCCTATCCCTTTCACTCAGTCTTTCTCTCCCATCAGCCTGGAGAGAGGATATTTTTTGTGTGATTTTTGTTTCTTTGTTTTGGGGTTTTGGGTGTGTGTGTGTGTAGTTTTTTTGTTTGTTTGGTTGGTTTTATTTGTTTTTACCTTTTTCTAGCTTTATTAAGGTTTAAGTGACAAAATTATATGTGTGTATACACACACACACATACTTTAGAGACAGGGTCTCACTCTGTTGCCCAGGCTGGAGCACAGTGGCATGATCATAATTCACTATAGCCTCGAATTCCTGGGCTTCAAATGATTCTCCTGCCTAAGCCTCCTAAGTAGCTGAAACTACAGGTGTATTCCACCATGCCCAGCTATTTTTTTTTTTCATTTTTTCTAGAGACAGGGTCTCACTATATTGCCCAGGCTGGTCTCAAACTCCTGGCCTCAAGTGATTCTCCCACTTTGGCCTCCTAAAATGCTGGGATTATAGGTGTGAGCCACTGCACCTGGCCAAAATTGTATATTTTTAAAGTATACAACATGATGATTTGATATATGTATTTATTGTGGAATGGTCACCACAATCAAGTTAGTTAACACATGTCACCTCACATAGTTACCATTTTTTATTAACTATAGTCACCATGCTGTACATTAGATCCCTAGAACTTACTCATCTTATAACTGCAAGTTTGTATACTTCGACCAACATCTCTCCCTATCCCCTGGCAACCACTAGTCTATTCTATGTTTCTATGAGTTCAACTTTTTTAGATTTAACATATAAATCATATAGTGTTTGTCTTTGTCTGATTTATTTCATTTAGCATAGTGCCCTCCAGGTTCATCCATGTTGTTGCAAATGGCAGGATTTCTTTCTTTTTATGGATGAATATTATTCCATCGTGTGTGTGTGTGTGTGTGTGTGTGTGTATACACCACATTTCCTTTATTCATCTGTCAGTGGACACTTAGGTTGACTCCACATCTTGAATATTGTGAATAATGCTGCAATGAACATGGGAAAGCAGATATCCCTTTGACTTGATTTCAATTCCTTTGGATGTATACCCAGACATAAGATTGCTAGATCATATGATAGTTCTCCTTTTCGTTTTTTGAAGAACCTCCATACTGTTTTCCATATGGCTATACTAACTTACATTCCTACCAACAGTGCACAACGGTTCCCTTTTCTCCACATCCTCACTAACACTTGTTATCTCTTGCCTTTTTAATAATAGCCATTCCAAAAGGTGTGAGGTGATGTCTCATTGTGGCTTCAATTTGTATTTCCCTAATGATTAGTGATGTTGAGCACTTTTTCATGTGAGGTTTATCATTTCATTGATTTCTGCTCAAATGTTTATTATTTCCATCCTTTCACTAGCTTTAGGTTTGTTTTGCTCTTTGGTTTCTTTAGGTTTAAGCCTAGGGTTACTGATTTTAAATATTTCTTTTCTAATACAGTCAATTCTCATTATTCATGTTAGTTGTGTTCTGTAAAGTCACTGTGAACACTGAATTAGTGAATACCAAACTGCTGCTCTTAGGAGAAATACAGGGTTAGGTTTCTGCAAGTCTCCAGTCACATTTTCATAAACTAATAAATACATAACTTTGTTTGATGTGTGTTTCTATTTAAAGGTACCTTATTTAGAATATATTATTGATTTGTAAACATTGAACTCACAGCCAACAGCACTATAACTCATGCCTGAGCAAAGCTTATCTAACACATATTTTCTCATAAGACAGAGTCTTCCTCAGCTTAGGAACACTAGATAACACTTCAGCTTTATGTTTGGGGGCCATTTTAAACAGGCGAAATTACCAACCAAAAGCACAAAAATGTGAAAAACATGGCACTACCTAGACTGCAAAAAGGACACTTGTTTACAGTGTGAGAGCTGAAACAAGGCAGAATAGAATGTTGCCTGTTCAACCTCAGCTAGGAACATATCTCAGGCAGCTCAAATTTTTTGCCACTCTGTGCATGTTCACAAATAACCATGAAAGCATTGCAATTATTTGATTTCTGGGGTTACAAATGAATTTTAGCAAGTAGGCAGATTCATAATTAAGGGATCTGCATATAACAAGGTTCAACTGTATTTGTATTTAATGTTAAAATTTTTTCCCTTAAGCACTGCTTTAGCTGTATCCTGCAAATTCTGATATGTTGTATTTTCATTTAACTTAGGGTTTGGCAAAATATGGCCCACTGCTTGCTTTAGTAAATGAAGTTTTATTGGACCACAGCCCCACTTATTCTTTTATCTATTATGTTTTGCTGCTTTTGTGCTATGATAGCTGATTAGTTGTGATAGACACTGTAGGGTACACAAAGTCTAAAATATCTCCTGTCTGGCTCTTTACAAAAAAAGTATGTTGAGCTTTGATTTAGTTAAAGATATTTTTTTAGTTTCCTTTGAGACTTTTCGCTTGATCCATGGATTATTTAGAAGTATACTGTTTAATTTCCAAACATTTGGAGATTGTACAGATATATTTCTGTTATTGACTTTTAGATTAATTCTGTTATGGTCCAAGAATGCACATTTGTATGATTCCTGTTTTCTTTAATTAAAGTTTGTTTTATGACCTAGAATATGGCCTATGTTGGTGAATAGTCTGTGTGCATGTGAGAAGAATGTGTACTCTGTTGTAGCTTGGTCAAATCTTCCTTAAATGTCCAGTAGGTCAATTTGGTTGGTAGTGCTTTTCAGATCATCTATATCCATGCTGATTTTCTGCTTACTCGTTCCATAAATCAATGAGAGAGGAATGTTGAAGTTTCCAACTATAATTGTGGATTTGTCTATTTCTCTTTTCAGATCCAGTCAGGTTTTATATCATGTATTTTGAAGCTATGTTATTAAGTGCATACACATTTAGGATTGTTATGTCTTCTTGGAGAATCCTTTATCATTATGTGATATCCTTCTTTTTCTCTAATAATTTTCCTTGTTCTGAAATCTACTTTGTCTGAAATTAATATAGCTACTCCAGCTTTCTTTTGCTTAGTGTTTCATCATAAATCTTTATCCCTTTTCTTTTAACTTATCAAATCTGTATATTTAAAGTGGGGTTTTTTTGTAGACAGCATATAGTTAATTCTTATTTTTTAATCCAGTCTCATAATCTCTATCTTTTAACTGCTATGTTTAGACCATTCACATTGAAAGGGATTATTGATATATAGTTGGATCAAAATCTACCATCTTGCTGGCTGATTTTTCTGTTCCATTTGTTTCTTGTTACCTCTTTTTCTGTTTAATTGAGTATTTTTATGATTCCATTTAATCTCTATTGATGTATTATTTATACCTTTTTCTAAAACTTATATAGTGGTTGCATTAGGTTTTACAACATACATTTTTAAATAATTTGAATCCACTTTCTAATAATATACAACTTCACCTGTAGTGTAAGGATCTAATAACATATTCTCAATTCTTCCCTCTCATTCCTTTGTCATTATTGTCATGTTCTTGCTAGTACATATGCTATAAACACCTAATACATTGTTAATGTTATTTCTTTGAACTGTCAGTTATTTTTAGAGCAATTAAAAATAAGAAAAATAGACAGAAACCTCAAACTCCTGGGCTCAAGCAATCCTGCCTCAGCCTCCCGAGTAGCTGGGACTACAGGGTCTTCAGGCAGAGAGGAACAGACCAACAAAAAATATGATTAACATCAATAGCACCCTACAAGAGTTCTTTGGTCATGCCATTAAGGCTGCATATCCAGATTTGGAAAATCCTCCTCTGATAGTGACACCAAGTCAGCAGCCCAAGTTTGGGGACTATCAATGTAACAGTGCTATGGGTATTTCTCAGATGTTCAAAGCCAAGGAACAGAAAGTTAATCCAAGAGAAATTGCCAAAAACATTACCAGACACTGCCCAGACAGTGAATGTGTTGAAAAAGTTGAAATTGCTGGTCCTGGTTTTATTAATGTCCACTTGAAAAAGGATTTTGTGTCAGAACAGCTGATTAATCTCCTGGTGAATGGAATTCAACTACTTGCTCTTGGAGAGAATAAAAAGGTTGTTGTTGACTTTTCCTCTCCCAGTATAGCTAAAGAGATGCACGTAGGCCACCTCAGATCAACTATAATAGGAAAGAGTTTGTGCCGCCTCTTTGAATTTGCAGGATATGACGTGCTCAGGTTAAATCATGTAGGAGATTAGGGCACCCAGTTTGGCATGCTCATCGCTCACCTGCAAGATAAATTTCCAGATTATCTAACAGTTTCACCCCTATTGGGGATTTTCAGGCCTTCTATAAGGAATTTAAGAAGAGGTTTGATACTGAGGAGGAATTTAAGAAGAGCATATCAGTGGGTAGTTCTGCTCCAGAGTAAAAGTCCAGATATTGTAAAAGCTTGGAAGCTTATATGTGATGTCTCCCTCCAAGAGTTTAATAAAATCTACAATGCATTGGCCATCTCTTTTTAGAGAGAGTGGGGAATCGTTCTATCAAGATAGGATGGATGATGTTGTAAAGGAATTTGAAAATAGAGGATTTGTGCAAGCGGATGATGGCAGAAAGATCGTGTTTGTCCCAGGGTGTTCCATACCGTTAACCATAGTAAAATCAGATGGGAGAGTATACCTATGATACATCTGACCTGGCTGCTCTTAAGCAAAGACTATTTGAGGAAAAAGCAGATATGATTATCTATGTGGTGGACAATGGACAATCTGTGTACTTCCAGGCAATATTTGCTGCTGCTCAGATGATCAGTTGGTATGACCCTAAAGTAACTCCAGTGACCCATGCTGGATTTGGTGTGGTGCTAGGGGAAGACAAGAAGAAGTTTAAAACACATTCAGGTAAAACAGTGCGCCTCATAGACCTTCTGGAAGAAGGACTAAAATGATCCATGGACAAATTGAAGGAAAAAGAAAGAGACAAGGTCTTAACTGCAGAGGAATTGAAGGCTGCTCAGACATCCATTGCTTATGGCTATATCAAATATGCTGACCTTTCCCATAGCCAGTTGAATGACTACATCTTCTCCTTTGATAAGATGCTGGATGATAAAGGAAACACAGCTGCTTACTTGTTGTATGCCTTCACGAGAATCAGGTCTATTGCACGCCTGGGCCAGTATCAATGAAGAGATGCTCCAGATAGCTGCTCGAGAGACCAAGATCATTTTGGACCACGAAAAGGAATGGAAATGGGGCTGGTGCATTTTACAATTCCCTGAGATTGTGCAAAAAATTTTAGATGACTTATTTCTCCACACTCTCTGTGATTACATTTATGAGCTGGCAACTACTTTCACAGAGTTCTATGATAGCTGCTACTGTGTGGAGAAAGATCAACAGACTAGAAAAATATTGAAGGTGAACATTTGGTGTATGCTGTTTGTGTGAGGCGGTAGCTGCTGTCATGGCCAAGGGGTTTGATATCCTGGGAATAAACCTGTCCAAAGGATGTAATCCTTCAGTTTGAACACCTTGTGTTGTTACCAAAGTGGCCATTAGCACTGTTTGCTTTTTTACAATCATGTGAATACAAAAACAAGTAAAGAAAATTTGTCAACTAAAAAAAAAATAAGAAGAAAAATATAGATCACATTTTAGTAGAGGTTTTAGAACAGAGGAATGTCATAGTCGTTTTAAAATGTAACGACTATCACTGTGGTTGCTTTAAGAGGGGAACAAAGAGATCAGCTTAGGAGGCTGTTGTGATCTAATTGAGACATTTTAGTGGTTTGTTCCAAGCTCAGGTTAAGTAACTCAGAAGGGTGCACTAGATAGGACATCCAGGAATCTTTTGTGTCTACTTCAAAATCTCACAATTTTTCATTATAGCTGAAATATTTAGATTTAAAGCTACTTCAAACTATTTGAATAAGACGTTCACATTAAAGCATTAAAAACATGACCAGGGCCGGGCGTGGTGGCTCACGCCTGTAATCCTAGCACTCTCGGAGGCCGAGGCGGGCGGACTGCTTGAGGTCAGGAGTTCTAAACCAGCCTGAGCAAGAGCGAGACCCCGTCTCTACTATAAATAGAATTAATTGGCCAACTAATATATATATATAGAAAAAATTAGCCGGGCATGGTGGCGCATGCCTGTAGTCCCAGCTACTCGGGAGGCTGAGGCAGGAGGATTGCTTGAGCCCAGGAGTTTGAGGTTGCTGTGAGCTAGGCTGACGCCATGGCACTCACTCTAGCCTGGGCAACAAAGGGAGACTCTGTCTCAAAAAAAAACAAAAAAAACATGACCAGTAATCCTTGTTCACCTCATAGTTCAGTTTGAAATAATCACAGTAATTGTAGTCATCATTGGATAGACAAATAGTACTTTAAATAGTACTTTAAAAAGTACATTGTAAACATTGTAGTTTTTTTTAAATTAAGTATTATCCACACATGTTAATCAAAACTGATGCACTTGTCTACCTTTTTTTGCTGGTATTTCTTTGTTGGAAAATTATTAGGTCACTTATTGGGAGTTCATCATATTCTAGTCAAAGAATATCAACCAAGTTTCATGCCTGGTTAATTCTACCAAGATTGTATTTCTGAATTCTAGATTATGTTCTCTTTACAGAAAACAGGAACTTTAATAAATGTGTAACTTTAAAAAAAATATATGTACTATATTTCCTTGTAGTAATTCTGAATAAAAGCATATTCTACCTAATTCAAACTTTCTTCTCTGTAAAACTAACAAATTGTACGTTTATTATCAACTTTTTCTTTTTAGGTCAATAGTTATCTGGTTTATTTTTTGCAAATTTCCAGTGATCCTGTATGTACTCATTCCCCAGTTTCATCAACATTTTGCCATACTTTAAAAAATCTGTAATCTCCTTTTTTGGATGAAATATTTTAATCAAATTTTGATTTGTCATGTAATTTCATCCCTATATATTTCAGTGTGTATCGTAAATAAAACAAAATTTAAAACAGATGTTTTCTTAAATAACCACAATGCATTATCACATCTAATAGGATTAACAATAATTCCTTAATATCATCTAACACTCAAATTAATGCAAATTTCTAATTGTCTAAAGCAACCTTTTATGTGTTTTTACAGTTACAGTTTTTACAGTTAATTTGATCAAAATGTAAAATAGGCTCACTCATTGTATTTGGCTGTTTTGTATCTTATAATTGCTGTTAATCAAAAACAGGTGTCTGTTACTGAGATTCTGCTGGTGATATAAAAAAAGAAAAGAAAAAAATAAAAAATGAAGAAAAAAAAACAGGTGTCCCCCCTCCCCTTTTTGTTTCATGACTTTGTCTTGGGAAAGAAGCTTAGTCAGTTGTCCTGTAGTAGTCATGAGGTTGTTAAATTTGTTCCTCCATATTTCTGGTAGACTGGAAGTTAGAGCAAAGCCTTGTTTACATTCAGGTTTGTTTGTATGTTTATTTATTTATTTATTTTGGGGGGTGCTGGAATACTTCATAGGTGGCACTATTTACTATCGCTTTAAATGAGATGGCACATAATGTTTGATTGTTGTACTTTTAGTGATACTGAGATTAATGGATGGTTTGTCTACCAGTGGGGTGTTAAAAAAGAAGAGGAAGAAGATTGATGTGTGCGTTCAAATGGTGATGACCTTATCTTTTTACTGTAGAGTTTCCTGCAATCTTTCCTATGGGAAGCTAAAACCATTGTTGTCTGAACCAATTATTTTAATAGGAGTTACAAAATGATCATTTTCTAATCATGTTACTACTCTGCATTTAACAGATGTTAACAGAACTCCTCCTTATACACCAGAGCTGTTTGGTTAACTTGAAATATACTTCATATCAGAAAAGCAGAATAAATAAAGGGAAAAATAAGCATTAATTTGGAGTACCCTAGCAACTTCCATTGGTGTCCACTGAGTTTTGTTCCTTTTTTTTTTAAATATCATTACAAAGTCATGACTTTTTATATATCCAGTATGTTTTAACAAATTGCAGTCATTATTTATTCCTTTTGATCTCACTGTGTCTATCTTTGGCCATTGGGAGCCCTTTAGGCTTGTGTGTCCTTTTGACACAACCCATTGGCCCTTGACAACTTCATTGCTTTTTGGCTTAACAAAATGTTCCAGGTTGATCTTAATCCATATCTTGCCCTGGATATAGAATCATCCATTTTTCTAAGAGATGACTTAGATCTTTTTAGTGGGGGATGATATTTAGAAATATATGTTAGGTGCTATATATTACAGGGTTGTCATTTCTTTTTAGCTTTCTCAGTGGATATAGCCATAAACTATATATTTTTTAAAAGAAGAAAAAAGGATCATGAGTTCACATTGGTATTTCCAAATGAAAATTTAAGATTATAGGCTCTTCTTTTGTAAGGTTAGCTATGTTTTATTATAAACTATGCAGGATGCCCCTCTCTGTCAAGACTTTTCTAACCACTCAGATCTTTTAGTTTTAATGAAAATTTTAAACATATAAAAAGTAGGCAGAATAGTATTATAAACCCCCATACTTACTACCCAGCTTTAGCAATTACCAACTCATAGCCAATACAAGGCTTTTTACTTAATTTTTTTCATTTTATGATACTTTTATTCTGAAAATCTTGGTTCCTTACAATATTATCAGCTCATTTGCTTTAACTTATAATATTATGGATATAATGGTTTCAGAATAACAGCAAATTTTACTACTGCAGATGAGATTACTGAATCAAATTTTAAGATTTCTTTGTATTTTTTTGTCCTTAGCCTGTATCCCACTGAGAGTGTATAGGCAAAATATTGCCTAGTAAGGTTGGTTGGAATAATTCTTTTCTCTGTATGGTCATGTCACTAACTTGACATATAGTTAGACTCATTTGTTTTAGTTTGTTTTTAATTTTTAAAGACTTTTAAAAATTTTGCTTTTGCTTTTCTTTTTAAAATTTAATTTTGAGTTTCTTGAGGCATTTACATGATATCAATGTCAAAATTATATAGCAAGTTATATTCAGAGAAGTTTCACTTCCATTCCTATCCCCTCTACCTTGATCCCTCTCTTCTTTCTCCTACAGGTAAACATTTTTCTTAGCTTTTCTTTGCTCAATATTTATTTTTTACATCAAACCTTCTAAACAGATCCATGGGTTGGAGTAGGCACTCATATATAAGAACCTTTTCCTGTAAGCCTCCCTTTAGAATTTTTCTCCCTTGCAATTTGTTCATCTCTTGTTTCAATACCCTCTTATTACCTACCTACTCTACAGAGCCTTGCTTAAAAGCAAGAAAATGTTCTCAGTTACCTTGTTTTCTTTATCTAGTATCTGTCTTGATCTATACACTGTGATACTGAAAAAACTCATTCTTTAATTAATTCGTTCTCTATATCTAGGTTTACAGTTGACTTATGCACTTGGCCCTCTGTATCCATGGATTCAACGAATCACACATCGAAAATATTTTTAAAACAATAAAAAATAACAATACAATAAGAAAATAATACAAATTTTAAAATACAGTATAACAGCTCTTTACATAGCATTTATATTGTATTAGGTATTATAAGTAATCTAAAGATGATTTAAAGTACATGGGAGGAGGCCAGGCATGGTGGCTCATGCCTGTAACCCTAATACTCTGGGAGGCCAAGGCCAGAGGGTAGCTTGAGGTCAGGAGTTCAAGACCAGCCTGAACAAGAATGAAGCCCTGTCTCTACTTAAAAATAGAAAAATTAGCTGGGCATGATGGCATGTGCCTGTAAACCCAGCTACCTGGGAGGCTGAGGCAGGAGGATCACTTGAGCCCAGGAATTTGAGGTTGCTGTGAGTTATGATGATGCCACCATCCCCTAGCCGGGGCGACAAAGTGAGACTCTGTCTCAAAAATGTATTAATATATGGAAGGATGTGTGGAGGCTATATGCAAATTATACCATTTTATATAAGAGACTTGACCATACACTGGAACAAATCCCCCACAGATACCAAGGGATGAATGTATGTCCTGCTTTTTTCGTATTTGTTGTCTGTATTAAATCACAAGCCTTCCGTTATCTTGGTGTTCAGTGAAGTGTGAACTTTTCTTTCTCATTTGTGTGACTTGTCCTGTAGCAAATAACTACATTCAGCTTAGTATTTTATGTTCATTAGCCCTAGTGTTTCATTACTTACTACTTCATTATTCTGTTGTTTTGTATTTGTTTAATGAGTCTATGAATTTTTTTCAATAAATTTGTAATTTCCTGGAGATCAAGACTTCTCTATCACTGTAGGAGATAAAAAGCAAATCTATTAGGAATATAGTGATAGGTGAATAAATATTAATTGAATTAAAGGATATATTTTGCTTGACTAACTTATGGCCATGCTTGCTAACAGTTTGACACCAGTATTACCAATGCTACATTGTAAGCCAAGCTGACCAAAGATTAAATCATGAATCTTTACCCCAGAATTAAAAGCACAGGTGGTTTTTAAAGTTTTCAAATTAATGTATGGGAAAGGTGGCACAATCAATTCATAGAATTAAAACATAAAAACTTGATCTTTGTTTCTAGAATGTAGCTTTAAGACATACTCAAGGAAAATACTTTCAGATGGTCATTACTTTTGGTGTCTGGCCTCAATCCTTGTTTGACTTAGCTCCATTATTGGTGTCCCAGAACTTTGCTTGTAAGGGGAGAGTTAGAAGCAAGGCTGGCTGGCTGGTAAAACCTGCTTATGTTGACTTGGATTGCTTTTGATCTTATTTGCTATTTTATCAACTATTCTTTATACTGCTAAATGAGTGGAGTTTCAGTGGTTTTATAGAATGAAAACCAGAAAAGCCAGACTATTTACAACACTTTAAAAATGTGACACTAGTCCTATAATAGCACTGAAGCTACTTGTAATGTCATGCAACTCTGTGTTAATTTATTTTACGATCAGAGTAGGAAGAAGATGCTAAGGTGATGTGTCCCATCTGTCTGCTTTTCTCTTCCTTTTCTCTCGCCTTCAAAGAAGATGCTGGAGATTCTTCAGGGAAGAATAAAAAGATAAATTTTAGAATATATTTTTATTCATGTTAAGAAAACATTTCTTGGTTTGCTTATAGGTCCTGTTATTGCCTTGGAGTTTAATGGAGATGGTGCTGTAGAAGAATGTCAACTTATTGTAAATGAGACATTCAATGGGACCAAGGTACAAGATTTTATTGACTATAATTCAATCTAACCTTTCATTTCATCTCCTTTTCCTTACCATCAAATAGTACTTTTATCCCTGGTGTTCCTTGGCAATTAAAATAAAATAAATAAGGCCAGACATGGTGGCTCACACCTGTAATCCTAGCACTTGGGGAGGCTGAGGCCTGAGGATCGCCTGAGCCCAGGAATTCGAGAGCAGCCTGGGCAACATAGTGAGACCCCAGTTCTACAAAAAGAAAAAAAAAACAAGAACAAGATCAGATCATGATTTTTAGAACTTATGATAAATAATTGGGAACTAAGGTTTGGTTTTTCCTTGCCAAACTAACACTTTAATTGTTTAAAATAATTCAAAATCAGAATCTACTTATTAAAAACCTTCAATAGTACATAACTTTCTGGGTGGGTACAGTGGCTCAACCCTGTAATCTCAGCACTTTGGGAGGCCAAGGCAGGAGGATCACTTGAGGCCAGGAGTTCAAGACCAGCCTGGGCAACATAGTGAGAACCCATCTCTACAAAAAATTTTAAAAATTAGCCAGATGTGGTAGTGCACACCTGTAATCCCAGCTACTTGAGAGGCTAAGGCAGGAGAATCACCTGATCCCAGAAGTTTGAGGCTGCAGTAAGCTATGATCACACCTTTGTACTCTAGCCTTAGTGACAAAGCAAGACCCCAACTCTAAAAAAATAAGTAAATATATAATTGACTATTTTTTGATAAATATCTGAGAGGAAACTTTTGGTTTTATCCTCTGATTTTGCCATGATTCCTTGAATTTGCAAAATTTCAAGTACCTTTGTCTTCTGTCTCATTTAATCATTGCAATAGTAATAAGGGAGAGGACAAATACCAGATTGAATAGAGATAAAATGCTTATGTGTTTGGACTTTTTAGAGCTAAATAATTTAGAAATTATCGAATCAAACTTTCTCATATTATAGGTGTAGACACTGAGCCCACAGAGGTTTATTAACTTGTTAGCATCATAGAATTAGTTTATGATAAAGCTAGAATAGAACCCAGGTCTCCTCTAATTCCTGACTGACATTTATAAAAGCTACTTTTGAAGGGTTCTATTGAGTACTGCTTTATTGATGTTTAGAAAATATTTCATTTAAGATTAGTAATATATCTTTAGCAGTTTTGAAAAGAAGAAACTCAAGTTTTATTTCTCAGACTATTGACAGTATTAGAAAATAGAAGAAACTAAGAGTTCTTTAAATGAACTTTCTTATTCAGTAGCTTTCATAATACTGAGTGTTGTACATTAAACAATAAAATTCTGGTGTAATAAAATACAACTGAAATATTATGAAAACAGAGACCTTAATTAATTATACCATAATCCCTTTTAAAAAAGCTTAGTTTACATTATAGCTTTTGAAACTATATTGCATGGATTGTAAAGAAAATCTACATATTAAATATTATAAATGATATACTTGAATTTCTTTCAAATAATCTTGTGACTTTGTTCTGTGAAGAACATGGCTTTGGCATTCTGGCATCACTAGTACTTATATTTTTGTTTATTTTCTATTTAAAATAGATGTTTGTATCAGAAAGCAAGGAGACAGCATCTGGAGATGTAGACAACTTCTACAACTTTGCTGATATACAGATGGGAATATGAAATACAGTGTGGAACCAAAGACTTGGTATTAAGCCCTTTCCAAGTTGTATATTTAGAGTTTGACAATATAATACTTTTGTATATTAGCAATGGTTTTTATGAATGTTAAATTGTTAAAAGTTTATTTTTTAATAAACTTGAATACTGCATCATTTACTTGAGTTTCAAAAATAGTTCACTTTAAATTAAGTAGTTTTAATCAACTTATTAACCCACTTCAGTAAACTTTCAGTTTTGTTTTACTGAATGATACTCTTATTAGAGATAGAAGTGGCTAACAGCTTATGATTTTAATCCTATTTAAATGTTCTTTCAGATCTTTAATAATTTAAACTTTCCTCAGTACCCATGATATTTGTTTGAGAATATATTTTGTCACTAATCTTTTTAAATTTAGAGATATTTGTTACTAGTTGATCAATTAGAATGAACCTATGCACGTTTTTTCATGTATACACATCCAGTTAAATAATTGCTTCCTAGTTGAATTATATGACAGGTGAGATTTTGTACATGGAGTTGACATAAAACTTTGTAAACTGAATTTTTTAAAGAAATAGGCATTTGATAACCAGCTTTACAAGTAACTCTACTAACTGATTTTAGTATAGCTATTTAAAGACTACTTTGTAATTTGATTATTTGAATAAATTCTACATTGTTTAGTTTTTTAATACAACTGCTAGATGACCTTTCTGCTTCCTAGTGAGAAAAGGTATATGCAACACTAAAACTATAGAAGCCCAATCACCAGCAGTTTTTAAAAAAGTGGTAACTGTTTTATCAGCTCTTGTGGGCTATCAAAAGAATTAGAACAAAACCTTGTAACTTTTAGGTAAGAAATACTTAGGCATGATGATAAGCTATGCAGATTTTTTAAAAGTTTGATACATTTGATTTTAATTAGATATGCCATTCATATAAAGTAATATTCTAGTATGATAAAATTATTTTGGTTGCTTTAAAGTATTATTTCCCAAATCTACCTGACTATAATTTAGTGAGAGGCAGGGGAGAGCTACTTGTTTTAAAAATTCTCATTATTAGACCCAATCCTCAGATGTATGGATTTAGTCTTCAGGAGGTGTTAACAGGTTGATCTTGTGAGAAGGTACTGGACCTGCATCCATATCACATATAGTAGATATCAGGAAATCAGCTTGCATAGGCCTATTTTTAAAAGGAATCTGAAAATTTGATTCTATTGTGGTAAAACTAAGACTGAAAATAGCCACTTGTGTAAATTCCTTTTATGATTTTTACTAAAAGTGTAGTTTCATGTTTGAAATGTTTTTGAATATTTTCGGGTTAATTTAAAAATACTGCATTGAATTGCATGTATTTTTTTGAATTGTTGATGTGCAGAAATAAATACATTAAAAGACTTTTCATTTTAACAAATTGAGTACTCATTAATATTGAGCACTCAATTAATATTGAGCACTTACCCTGCGCCTGGCCTTGTGCTAACCATTAACATTGGATCATTTCAGTTTTTATAAGAGCATTCTATACTACAAAATCAATATAATTTCATAAGGTACAAATAAAAATTGGTGATAGGTTTAATATAATTTGATCATAATTTATAAATGATTTTTGCAAATAGTGGTCAGAGGGCATTAATTTTCCCCTTAGTTAAGCTAAATTAAATAAACTACTTCCTATTATGGTTACATTATTAAACACCATTATTCACATTTGAAATAAGCACAATACTGTTTTTCAAAAATACAATATACAAAGCTATAAATTGAGTTCTTTATTTTATCTATGGTGTTTTAGCAGAAACTCAGGAATATAACATATAAGGGAGATGTTAATTTAAAATCTTCCACTAAATTTTGTATCTATGAACCAAAGCCTAAAATTTTATATTATTCATTTACATAAGAGCTTTTACCCAAGTTTAATTTGTCTTTAAGGACAGTAATTTGGCTTCTGAATGTTTGAAAGGATTTTAAAAAATAAGTAGTGTTATGGTAGTTATTTCTATAATTCTAAACTTTGATGGTAATCAGAATGTATTACATTTCATTTCCGAATAGCTTTTGAATTCATGAAAAATCATTAGCTATGAAAAATTAGTAATTTTATTAAGTTATACATGTTTAAACATTAGCTTATTTCTCTTTAATAGTACTGCTGTTTTTGTTTTGCTTCTGTATATTTATTTCTAGCTTTTATATATAATTTATCTAGTGTTTATAAAATATGATTTATAATAAATGTTAAAATGAAAATGGCTACAATGGTTTGGACATGGTTTGTTTGTCTCCACCAAAGCTCATGTTGAAATTTGATCCCCATTGTGGTAATGTTGGGAGGTGGGGCCTACTGGGAGATGTTTGTATCATGGGGCAGATCCCTCATGATTGGTTTGGTGCTGTTCTTTAGGTAGTGAGTGAGTTCTCCCTCATCAGAGACTAGATTAGTTCCCATGAGAGTGGGTTGTTATAAAGCCCTCAGGTTTCCCTCTTTTTGCCCATATCTGCTTCCTCTTTAACCTTCTCTGCCATGTTGTGATGCAGCATGAAAGACCTCACCAGAAACCAAGGCCATGCCCTTGAACTTCTCAGCCTGCTAAATAAACTTCTTTTCTTCATAAATTACCCAGTCTTGGATATTCTTTTATAGCAACACAAAATGGACTAATAAAATGGCTTACTGATAATTTTTGAAGAGCACTTTTATAACATATATTTACTCATACATGTGCCAACATTTGATGTAATTTTTTAAAGTTAAAAGTAAAAATAGTCTAATCTACAGCTTATGTTAATGAAAAATGATGCCATTTTGTGTGTGTATAAGGCACTCTGGAGAAATGCAAAGGAAGTAGAAACCTATTTTAATCTAAGGAATTTCCAATATAATACTTCCTTTGCTAAAGGAATCACATTTTATTATGAATGAATGCTTACAAAGATTAGGCATCTTTCTCTTTTATATTTAAAACAAATAAATTGTGATATATACTTTCTTTCAGGTTTATACAAATGGACCTCATTTTTAAATTTCCAAATTTGCCAGCCTTTTGTACCCAACTTCTCCCTTTCCTAGCCTATAAGTCAGAAAACTAAAACTGCAGATTGGTTTTTAAAATAATATATATTATTTTTATTTCTATTTATAAAGGTTCTATGCATACATTTAGAGCATTGGAAATAACAACTGCACAAGACAATAACAAAATATACTTACTAGATAATTCTTAATGTTTAAAATTTGTTTTTCTCACTTAAAAGGGACATATTTAACTGTTCTTTATAGGAAGAGAAGGTATTATTGTAATTAGGGTATGATTACCCCTTCAAAACTCATTCTAGAAAGTAGTTTATCCTTTTAAAAGTATAACACTAAAAAAGCCAAACTTCATTTGAATTTTAGTAATACAAACCTTTTTTGTGAAAATGGAGTCATTCACCCTTCACTTGGTTTTCTCTCTCTCTTGGTACATGGTGGAGGGAGGTAATCAGCCTTTATAATTCATCTCTTTCCTTGTATGACATTTTGACTATAAGTGGTAAGCTTCAGCAAGATGTTCAGAAGTGATCATTTTTTTTTCCTTTTCTAGTGGTTTAGTGCTTTCCTGGTAAGTCTGGTTCTCACCTATAAATAAATAGCATAGGAAGTAGAGAGCCCCAGCATTCTCACCTTGGCTCTGATCCTCCCTGTGGGGCCTGCCTTTACTGTTTGAGTTTAATCTAATCCACTTGTAATTGGACTAATGAAAATTAATTTGCAAATTGTGTGACAAGTAATTAACTGATGTTTGTAAAATACCTTGAAAATGAAAAGTACTTTGGTTTTTTTTTTTATTTCAGCATATTATGGGGGTACAAATTTTAAGGTTGCGTATAATGCCCTTGCCTCCCCCCTCAAGTCTGAGCTTCAAGCATGACCATCCCCCAAACGGTGCACATCTCACTCATTATGTATGTAATATACCCGTCCCCTCCTCTCCCCTCCCACCTGCCCAATACCCGATAAATGTAATTCCTATGTGTCCACTTAGGTGCTGATCAGTTAATACCAATTTGCTGGTGAGTATATGTGGTGCTTGTTTTTCCATTCTTGGGATACTTCACTTAGTAGTATGGGTTCCAGCTCTATCCAGGAAAATACAAGATGTGCTATATCACCATTTTTTCTTACAGCTGAATAGTACTCCATGGTATACATATACCATATTTTATTAATCCACTCATGTATTGATGGGCACTTGGGTTGTTTCCACAGCTTTGCAATTGTGAATTGTGCTGCTATAAACATTCGAGTGCAGGTGTCTTTATTGTAGATTGTCCTTTGTTCTTTTGGGTAGATGCCCAGTAGTGGGATTGCTGGATCAAATGGTAGATCTACTTGTATCACTTTAAGGTATCTCCATACTGCTTTCCACAGAGGTTGAACTAGTTTGCAGTCCCACCAGCAGTGTAGGAGTGTTCCTATCTCTCCGCATTCACACCAACATTTATTGTTTTGAAAAGTACTTTATAAATGTAAAGTATTGTGCTGAGCAAAGCAAGTACAGTAGATCCCCCTTTATCTGTGGCTTTGTTTTTCTCAGTTTCAGTTACCTGCAATCACAGTCCCAAAATAAGTGAGTATAGTACAATAAACTATTTTGAGTGAAACTACATTCACATAACTTTTATTACAGTATATTGTTATAATTAAACTGTTTTATTAATCTTACTGTGCTTAATTTATAAATAAAATTTTATCGTATGTATGTATAGGAAAATCATAGTATTTAATATATATAGGGTTCAGTAGGTACTATCTGCAGTTTCAGGCATCCACTGGGGGTCCTGGAATGTATTCCTGTTGGATGGGGGGGTATCATATGATATTCTTTTAAAGTAGTTCAGCTGTGAAGCCACATACTTAGCCACAAATAGGCAACTGAATAGGGAAAAACAAGCCTAAGAGGCTAAGACTTAACTGCTGTTATCTTACTGATTGATGTACTTTCATTTGTCAAATGTATGTCAGTTTGTTAGGCACATTAAGAGAAACTTTTTTTTTTTTTTTTTTTAGACAGAGTCTCACTTTGTTGTCTAGGTTAGAGTGAGTGCCATGGGGTCCTAACTCACAACAACCTCAATCTCTTGGGCTCAAGCAATCCGACTACCTCAGCCTCCCGAGTAGCTGGGACTACAGGCATGCGCCACCATGCCCGACTAATTTTTTATATATATATTTTTTAGTTGGTCAATTAATTTCTTTCTATTTTTAGTAGAGACTCGCTCTTTAGTAGGTCTCGCTCTTGCTCAGGCTGGTTTCGAACTCCTGCCCTTGAGTGATCCGCCTGTTTCGGCCTCCCAGAGTGCTAGGATTACAGGCATGAGCCCCCGCGCCCAGCTAAGAGAACCTTTTGTACTATTAATATTTTACCCCAACTTCTAAACAGATCTTATATTAAGTATTTAAGATTTATCTCATTAGAGTCTTCTGTTTTTAGGACTGTGAAGAGTATGAACATTTTCAATCCCTCCTTTTACAGATGAGAAAGAAAACTGAGGGTAAGAAAATTTAGATGGCCTGTCCAACTCACACCATAGTCACTGAACTATAATGCAGGCCTCTTGATTTTCCCCCTGTGATCAATAGGAGAATAAGACTCAGCTCATCCATCTACTCCTATATGAAGCCTTTTCTAACACTCTCAGGTAGAAAGGCCCATTCCCTCCATGGCACTTGCTCACACAGTACTCTGTGCAGATTTCCAAGTACCTATAACACTTTATTCCATTTCTTTATCCATGCCTCTCTTGCTACTCCAAGTATGGTGTGTGGACCAGTAGCACCAGCATCACCTAGGAACTTGTTAGAATCTCAGCCTCCACTCCAGATCTGGTGAATAAGCATCTACTTTTTAACAAGATATTCAGCGGATTCACATGCACATTAAAGTTTAAGAAGCCTGTCAACTAAAGAATGATGACGTTCATAAATTTGGAAAGGAGAGCTTTATTTCTCATAAGGGGTTGTAGCCTGTAGGCTGGTCATCTTGCAGACTGGGAAGCATAGCCTCCAGCCAGAGCTGAGAGCAAGTGCTTCCAGGGAATTGTAAAGGGAGCATGAATTTATGCTGAGTGGGGTGGCCGAATATATTAATATATATTTAATAAGCTGAAGGAGTAATGAATATTTATGAGAGGAGAAAATGCACATGTGCAATTGAGATTCATGCCCCTTCATAGGTCACATGCACAAAAAATGGCTGCATTAACATGATCCAATGGTGTTTTGAGCATCCATCATCAAAAGGCCAGCTGTGGTGGCTCACACCTATAATTCCAGCACTTTCAAAGGGCAAGGTGGGCTCGAGGCCAGCAGTTTGAGACTAGCCTTGGCAACATAGCAAGACCCTGTCTCTACAAAAAATAAAATAGCCAGGCATAGTGGTGCATGCCTGTAGTCCTAGCTACTTGGGGGCTAAGGCAGAAGGATCACCTGAGCCCAGGAGTTTGAGGCTGCAGTGAGTTATGATCACACCACTGCACTCCAGCCTGGGCGATAGAGGTAGACCCTGTCTCTTAAAAAAATGGTGAAGCAGAGGACCTGAAATCCTCACTGTGCATACTCTGTAGACTGGTCAGAACCACTCCATGGTCAGTGGTCTCTTATCAGGAAGGAATGCTGGTCAGTTGTGCCCAAATTGCAAAAAGGGAGGAGCAGTCACGAGATTTGTTGAAATCAGCAGGAGCAAATCTTTCCAAAGGGTTGGTTTCTGTTTAACCCTTGAGGAAGAAAGCCTAATGGTGGTTGGTGGGGGGTTGGTCTAATGAGGCATGTCCCACTTCTCATTCTGTCATGGCTGGAGTCAGTTTTAAGGTTTCCATTGGGGTCCCCTTGGCCAAGAGAGGGTCCATTCAGTCTGTCAGGGGGCTTAGGATTTTATTTTTATTTCTCCAGCCCTATCCTAGACTGTTAGCTTCCTAAGCTCTAGAATCAAGGCTTAGAAATCTTTATATTCCTAGCTTAGGTCCAGTAATGTGATCTATGTTTAATGTTTTTTGATTGAATGACTCACAATCCAATAATTCATTCTACTCTATCAGACTTCAGTCTCTTCTGTAATTCCTGCCTTCGTGTACTCTCCTTGATTGGTTTTGGAGTAAAAAACATTCTACAATCTTTAATTACTTTTCTGTTTTGTGTTGAAATAGTAACTACAGTCTCTGCCCACTGAGGCATCTAGGAAGCTTTAAGAACATCAGTGGCATTCATTGGAAACAGACAAGAGCCCAGCAGTTTCTGACTTTTCTTCTGATGTGTTTTCATATTCAAGTTTTGTTTTATTCCATTAGGAAACACTGCATAAAGCAAGAGTGGTGATTTGTTGATGCTGGGGCTGAATTAAAAGGAAAAAGTCAACTACTTACTTTGGGTTTGTGGGGAAAGTCAGGCACTTGGTCCCTCTTAGATCTGTCATCCTCTGTTTTTATCTCTTGACATCTTCCCACTTCTCCCAGTGTTCAGGGATGAACTTGAGCATCATCAATAAAATGTGCAGGGTTGCCCAAGGAATTGTTCAGTGTTGCTCCAACTTTTGCAGGGAAAATGATGGCTTTTATCTCTTTCCTGGAATAAAGGCTTAGTTGTAAATCTAAAATTTTAAAGAAATGTAAATTCCTAAATGCACACTCTACCTTTATTTTCTTTAAATGGTTTTTCTTCCTGTTTCCTCAGTATAAATATATTGATGTCTTCATATGAGACTTAATTGTAATTTGTTATTTCGAATGTATTTCTTGGCATTTAGTCAATGGTAGCAGTAGACCAGGATTCGGGTGACATATGATTATCCCATTCCCATTACTGTTTTTTTTTTATTTCAGTATATTATGGGGGTACAGATTTTAAGGTTTCAATAAATGCCCATTTCCCCCCCCCAACAAGTCTGAGTCTCCAGCATGACCATCCCCCAGATGGTGCACATCTCACTCATTATATATGTATATACCCACCCCCCTCCCCCATCCCACCTGCCCAATACCCTATTACTGTAGTACCTATGTGTCCACTTAGGTGCTGCTCAGTTAATACCAGTTTGCTGGTGAGTATATGTGGTGCTTGTTTTTCCATTCTTGGGAAACTTCACTTAGTAGTATGGGTTCCAGCTCTAACCAGGAAAATATAAGATGTGCTATATCACCGTTGTTTCTTAGAGCTGAATAGTACTCCATGGTATACATATACCACATTTTATTAATCCATTTTGGATTGATGGGCACTTGGGCTGTTTCCACAGCCTTGCAATTATGAATTGTGCTACTATAAACATTTGAGTACAGGTGTCTTTTTTGTAGAGTGTCATTGGATCTTTTGGGTAGATGCCCATTAGTGGGATTGCTGGATCAAATGGTAGATTCACTTGTATCGCTTTAAGGTATCTCCATATTGCTTTCCACAGAGGTTGTTTTTTTTTTTTTTTTTTGAGACAGAGTCTCGCTTTGTTGCCCAGGCTAGAGTGAGTGCCGTGGCGTCAGCCTAGCTCACAGCAACCTCAAACTCCTGGGCTCGAGCGATCCTTCTGTCTCAGCCTCCCGAGTAGCTGGGACTACAGGCATGCGCCACCATGCCCAGCTAATTTTTTATATATATATCAGTTGGCCAATTGGTTTCTTTCTATTTATAGTAGAGACGGGGTCTCGCTCTTGCTCAGGCTGGTTTTGAACTCCTGACGTTGAGCAATCCGCCCGCCTCGGCCTCCCAGAGAGCTAGGATTACAGGCGTGAGCCACCGCGCCCGGCCCCACAGAGGTTGTTTTAAAAGTAGCATAACACAGAAAGAATAAAGAAAAGCACATGCAAATGTGTGGTGCTTAGATTTAAAGAGTCTGTCTTGAGCCAGGGCTCAGCTGCTTGAAATGAAGAAAAAAAATGCTGACCTCCATTATACATCTTTGATCGGGTGCATAGTGTTACAAATCTTTTTGTGTTAACATGAATTTGTAAAGCGAATAAATGATCGAAGGTTATGGCAATGCATAGGGCAGCATTTGAGACCTATATAGTACTGTTCATACTGAATCTAACAGCACTACATACCAGTATTGTTCCAATCATATTATCATTAAGTATAAGGAAAAATGTAAACCACAGGACACACGGTAGATGCTCAAAATGTTACAGTGCCCTTCCTTCACCCTTATAAAACGAGTTTCTGTGAGTGCATATTTTTAATTGTGAAAAAACATAACACAAGACCTGCTCTTTTGACAAAAATTTAAGTGTACAATTTAATGTACTATGAGTGCATTTTTATGAGTGAATGTTGCATTCCCCCCCCACCACCAGGTATATGAGAAGAAGTACCTCCTACCTTATCTGAAGCGGCAGAAATCATTTAAGTATAGTTTGGTTTGGGTTTTAAAATGCTCCTATGATATATCAGCTACTTATATGTCAGGCTCTGTGTTAAGCACTTTACATATGAAATCTCATTTAATCCTCTCAGCAATCCTAAGAGAGAGGTACTATTACTATCCTTGTTTTTATGATTGAGGAAATTGAAACTTAGTGAGGTTAGCTAACTTCCCTGGGTCAAACAGATGCTAAGTGCAGTCTGGACCCAAGACCAGAGAGAGCAGTTTAACTTCAAAACCCATGCTTTTAACCACTATGCTATCAATAACAATAGTAAAAATAGTAACAACCATTTACTGAGCACCTGCTGAAATGGCCAGGCACTGTGTTAAGTATTTTGCATATATTAAGTCATTTAACCTTCACATCAAATTATGAAGACCAAATTATTGGTCCCATTTTGCCAGATGAAGAAATTGAAACTTAGGTCAAGTACCTCTTTGTTCAAGGTCACATGTTTGAAACTGGGAAGTGGGGATCTATTAAAGGATGAGACCAATATGATTAAGGATGTATTTAGCCAGTTTAGAGTAGAACCTGAATCTTGCCCCAATTACCTGTTTCCTGGAGATCTCAGGGAATATAGATTTTTCCCAGAGTATAAAACAAAGAAAAATGGCCTTTATTATTAGCTGGGGCTTAGGCCAAAAACTCCAATGTGCAACTGCAAGGAATGAGGCTGGCCCATTGCAATTTTCCTATGCTGGATTGGCCTGGAGCCCACAAAGTGCGCATTCTAGGCTTGGCTCTTCCTTCACTGATGTGACAAGGCCCTGCCTATGAATGCTAGAGAGGAGAAAAGGGATAGAAAGACAGCTTACTTGATGCCTGAGAGCCTCTGCCCCTAGGCATGGCTGCTGCACACAAAAGGGTGCTTCCAGACAAGAAGACAGAGACAACCACTTACCTCCACTCCTCTGAAAGTTCCACCTTCCGTGACTCAGCCTGGTGCCATGGAATCTTAACACTCTTTTGGGGTTGGGGGAGTGGGGAAGAGAAGAGAAGAGAAATCCTGAGCCTCCTTTCCCCTAAAGACCAGCATTGCCAGAGCATGTAAGTGTCTGAGCTGAGATCTAAACCAATGTCTGTGTTCCTGACCACTATTCCTGAGGGAGGGGCATACAAAAATTACTTAGAGTATTTTTCAAAATACATATGACCCTCCAGGCAGTTAGAAAGCATAAACATGGTGACTGTGCAAAGTATTAAAGGTGAAAGAAAAGATCAAAGACAGGCAGAGAAACAACATTCAAATATGCATGAACTTAAAAACAACAAAAACCAAAAATCTATCTCTATGTACCGATAAGGAAAAAGCCTACTGTTAGATGAGAAAACTAAGATCAGGAACAGTGTACCCACTATGCTACCTTATGTGTAAGAAAGGGGAGATAGTAAGTCTGTGCATAGATATGCTTCATTTTGCATTTAAAAAGCACTGAAAGGACAAATAAGAAAGTAAAACATTAACCAGGTCTGGTGGTGCACCTGTGGTCCCACCTACTGTGGAGGCTAAGGAGGATCACTTGAGCCCAGGAGTTTGAGGTTGCAGTAATCTATGATGACGCCACTGCACTCAATCTTGGGCAACAGAGTGAGACTCTATCTCTAATAAAAAAGGAAAGAAAGAAAGAGTAAAGGAAATGAAAGGAAGAAAGGAAAAGAAAGAAAGGAAAACAGAAAGGAAGAAAATTCTAAAGAAGACAGAAGAATGGCCAACAAACATATGAAAAAATGCTCAACATCTCTAATCATCAGGGAAATGCAAATCAAAACCAAAGTGAGATTCACGCTAACTCCAGTGGAGGGGATTGCCGTTTATCAAAAGTCCCAAACGATAAACGTTGTGTGGATGTGGAGGGAGGAGAACACTCCTTACACTGCTGGGTGGGACTGCAAACTAGTAACCTCTATGGAAACAGGGTATGGAGCTACCTCGCAGCGGATAGCAAGTGGATCGTACCATTTGATCCAGCAACTCCCACTACTGGGCATCTACCGAAAGATCAAGATGACAATCTACAAAGGCACCCTGCACGAAAAAAATTGTTTTTTTTATAGCAGCACATTCGCAGTATTGCCGTAAGGCTCGTTGGAAACAGCCCAAGGTCCCATCATCAAATGGATTGAATAAAATGTGATATGTAACCATGAGACTATTCGATCTAGAAACAACCGTGGCTGTGATAGTAGCACATCTTATTATATTGGTTCCGGTTAGAGCTGGAACCATCTACTAAACGGGGTGAGTGCTCAAGAATTGGGAAAAACAAAGCACACATGAACGTTCACCAGCAAATTGGTATGTAACCTGAGCAGACCTAATGGAACATAGGGTACTACACGTAATAGGGTAATTTGGCAGTGCGGGATGGGGAGGAGACGTATATACATAGTATAATGAGTGAGGATGGCCACCATGCTGGGGATGAGGTCAATGCTGGAGACTCAGACTTGTGGGGAGGGGATATGGGGGCATTTTATTGGAAACCTTAAAATCTGATACCCCGCATAATATGCAAATTAAAAAAAAATGAAGGATAAGCAATAAAAAAAGAACAGGGAAGAAATAAAGAAAGGAAAGAAGAAGAAAAAAGAAAGAAAGAAAGATAAAAGAAAGGAGAAGAGGAATGGGAAGGAGGAAAGAAGAAAAGAAAAAGAGGTAAAGAAAGAAGAAAAGAAAAGAAAGAGAAAAGAAAAAGAAAGGAGAGGGGTAAGAAGAAGAAGAGACAAAAGAGGAACAGGAAGAAGAAGAAGAAAAAGAAAAGAGAGAAAGAAAGAAGAGGAGAAGAAGAAGAAGAAAGAAAGAAAGAGAAGAAGAGAGAAGAGAAGAAGAAAAAGAAGAAAAGAGGAAGAAGAAGGAAGGAGAGAAGAAGAAGAAGAGCGAGGAGGGAGGGAGGGAGGGAGGGAGGGAGGGAAAGGAAAGAAAGAAAGACAAGTTACTTATAGGAGGCAAGAAATTGAAGGGTGACTGCAGTCCCTACATTCTTTCATTTAAGTACATGATCATTTCTCACCACAGCTTCAACTGTCACTACTAAGCACAGATGTTCATCTGACTGCCATTCCTCAGTCTTCAACTCTCTACCAAATATGTTTATGTGAACAGTTAGATAATTGTTCTCCTGGTGTCACTACGCACTAAACTGAACACATCATATTCCTCCTTCCCAGATGGGCTCTCTGTCCTGGCATCCCCATTTCCATCAATGA